AAAAGGGAGAAATGTCTATTTTATGGAACAAAGTGGAGGAGATAAAGATTTATAAGAAGGATTTTGTTTATAGAGAATTAAACTTCTAGAATCAAAACCTTTTTAAGGGTTGACTATAGATTAGCATAACTTTTTTTTTTTTTTTCTAGAGATTAAGTTCACTAACCAGAGAGAGTCAAAGAGAGGGAGACAGCACCTCCCATGGGGAATTGGTCACACCACAATCCCTTCTCTTCCATTCTCCATCCTGTCAGGATTTGGGGCACACACACACACATGGCCAGTGTGTTTTTCAAGCCTCCAGATCTGGGACTTGAACCATAGGGTCAGCCAGGTGGGATCTGGCTGCCTTAAACACTAAACTTTAGCTAATATTTTAAAATGAGGAGACCATCAGGTGGCATAGTGGTTAAGGTGCCGTACTCTCACATGGTCAGCCACAGTACGAGTCCCAAACCTTGCAGCTTGAAACTCATGCCAGGTGTGTGTGTGAGCATGCCCAGAATTCCAAGAGGAGAATGGAGGAGAAGGGGTTGCTGTGTGGCCCTACTCTCTGGAGGGTGATTTCTTGCTTTCTGTCTCACTGTCTCTGTCTCTCCAGCGAGTGCTCTCATTCAGGATCCTTGTGATGAGAACCCCAGAATCTCCAGGACAAGAGCAGATTCTCTTCCTGACCCCCGAGTAATGCCGGCATCTGCCAGCCTTTGTTTCTGCAGCTGTAGGGACAGGGAACTATTTCCCAAGGTGGTCCCTCCTACTCGTGACCAGCTCTAATCTCAAGAAAGGTCCTTCTTACCTAGAGCAGATTTTTTTTTTTTTTTAGATTTTTCACACCCTATAGCAAAAATCTCTCTCTATAAAAAACAGAGAGAGAACAGATGAGAGAGAAGCTTCCTTCATTTCTAGTCCCCATATGGCAGGAGAGAGGAGGAAGGGGATGCCTCGTGTCCTGGGTTGCTACCATATTACTATTTGGGGGCCATGAAATTGAGATCCCAGACCGTGGACACCTCTTGAATAAATACGGTATCATTACCTTTTACTAAGGACGGATGGATAAGGGCTGCCCCTTCTGTTTTGCTCACACTCTTTTTTTTGTTTCTTTTTTCTTTTCTTTTTTTTTTTTGGAGAGGTTTTTTTCCACTATAGGGTGCGTGCACTCGCTAGAAAGACAGAGAGAGAGAGAGAGAGAGAGAGACAGAAAGCGAGAAATCACCCCCCAGGGAGGATGGCCATGCCACAATCCCTTCTCCTCCATTCTCTTCTTGGGATCTTGGGCACGCACGCACACATGCCTGGTGTGCGTTTAAGCCGCCGGGTCCGGGACTCGAAAGGCAGTCAACTACATGGGAGTCCAGCGACATAGCCGTTACGCTAACTGCTGATCCCTCACACTCTCTTTTGTTGGCATGTTCTCTGGCCTTCTCACCTGCTCACCATCACGTTGGGAGATGCTCCGTGGAGACCCACATGACCAGGAGCCAGGAAGACCTCAGTAAAAGCCCACAAGGAAGCAGATTCCTCCAACAACCACACGAGGGAGCATGGGAGCCACGTCTGTACCCGCTGACGGAGATTACTGCAGCCCTGGCTGACACTTGGAATGCTGTCTGTGACACTGAGCCAGAGGGCCCAGCTGAATCTGGTCTGATTCCTGACCACAGAAATGATGAGACAATGCATTCGAGGGGTGGGCCAGCAGGTGACAAGATGCTTAAGGGGCTGGATACCACATGGCCAACTCTGCATTTCAAGTTCCAAAGCTGGCATGGTGACCTGAAAATCATGCTGGGCACATGTGCACACGTGCCTAAGATCCAAGAGGAGAGTGGAAGAGAGGAGATCACAGTGTGGCCATCTTCCCCCAACCCTGGGGGTAAATTAAAAAGAAAGAAAGAAAGAAAGAAAGAAAGAAAGAAAGAAAGAAAGAAAGAAAGAAAGACAAACCACGAGGGGTCTTTAAAAGGGTAAGGGAAAATGTGTATTATGAAAAAAACTATGCATGGGCTGGTATGGTGTGGTAAGGTGCTGGACTCCCACATGGACAACCATGGTTTGAGTCCCTGACCTGGAGGCTTGCTTTCTCACTTTCCCTCTCTGTATAATAACAACAAATAAATAAATAAAATTAAATAATTCTTAAAAAAAAAAGCTATCCATGAATTTAAACAGTTTTTACACCTGGGCCCAGTAGTTGATGTGCTGGTTAAAAGCGCTGGACTCCCACATGATTGATCGCAGTTCAAGTCCCAGACCTGATGGCTTGCTTTCTCACTTCTGCAGTCTTTTTCTCTCTCTGGTGAGCACACATGATCTATAGCAAACTTTGAAAATATTAACAGTAATAAATAAAATAAAAATTAAAAAAAATTTTAAAATGTGCACTGAAATAAATTCAAACTTTAATCCCATTTTCCCACTAACCTTTTGAAGTCCTCTCATGTATGGTAAGCTGCCAAGTTTTCGGGTAATATTTTTATACTAGCAGTAGATAACTAACACATTTCCAAAAGGAAGGCAGGGTCAATAGAAAGAAGAGGGAGAACTAAGACTGGATAGAGAGTCTCTGTGATGAGAACCCCAGAATCTCCAGGATAAGAGCAGATTCCCTTCCTGGTCTCCTAGCTAATGTTGGGGTCTGCCAGCTTTTGTTTCTGCAGCTGGGTGACAGAGAACTATTTCCAAAGGTGGTCCCTTCCATGTGACCACCTCTAAGCTCAAGTAATGTCCTTCTTACCTAGAGCAGAATTTTTTTAGAGATTTTTGCTGTAGGGTATGTGTGCTCACTGGAGAAAGACAGAAAGCAAGAAATCACACATACACACACCCCAGGGGGATGGCCACACTGCAACCCCTTCTTCTCCATTCTCCTCTCAGGATTTTAGGCATACATGCACACACACCTGGTGTGTTTCAAGTCACAAGGTCTGGGACTCGAACTGCAATCAGCCACATGGGAGTCCAGCACCTTAATCACTATGCCACCTGCTGGCCCCACAAAGTAGAATCTTGATCCTTGTAATTCCCACCCACTATCTTGGTTCTGCCCTTAGCACCACAGAAAGCAAGGTTAATTTCCTCTTTTTGGTGTGGCATACACATATAGGCATGGGTTCAAATCCCAAATCTGCCATTTACGAGTGGTATGGCCTTGAACAGAGCACAACTCTTCAGTGTCTTATCTGTGACGGAGATGACAGCAGCGTCTGCCTTGTAGGGCTGTGCTGAGGTTTGAGCCAGACAAACACATAATGTCCTTGGCACAAGCCTTGGTGCATGGCAAATGATTCCCCACGACTACTGTGGCAGATTAGAGATGGCCACAAATTTGTTGACCCCTCCCAGCAAGACATGGGAGGATTCTTAGTCCTCTTGCCTGAAATCTGGGCAGGCTATGACTGCTTGACTGATAGAATGTGATGAAAGTGACCTGTGTTAGTGTCAGGCCCTGGGACTGAAGACACTTGCATCTGCCCACTACTCTTATCTCTTGGGACCCTTGTCATTGGTGCGCTGGGCTGTCATAAGGAGCATAAATGCCCTGAGGCCACCATGCTGAAGAGTCCACTCTGGTCAACAGTTCTGGCTAGCTACAGCTTTCCAGACATCCTTGATAAAGGACGCCAGGCATATGGATGAGCCATCTTAGATCCTCCAGACCAACCCGTCCGCCAACTGAGTACTAAGTGACCTCAGTCAAGGATGCACAAAACAAAAGAATTGCCCAAATGAATCCTGCTCAAATTTCTGACCCACAAAACCAGGAGAGACAATAAAATGGTGGCTGTTTTAAGCTGTTAAGTTTTGGGTGACGTGTTGCATAGCTGGAGATAATTAAAGCAACCACTGTGAAATCCCTTCCAGATTGAGCCTGCCCACCCCCTCAGCTATTTCTCACATGACAGTGTTGGGAGTCTTAGGGTCACGGTGATAACTGCCGTTGGATGGTTAAAGCCAGCAATGAACATGAGCCTCATGGTGGTCTGCCAGACTGAGCCCGTTAAGACTCTATCCAGAACAAAGTAAGCAAAAACGGAATTTGGGGCTCACAGTTGCTTCTAGCATGGATGAATCCAGGTGCTCCCAAGATGTCAGGCTCCATTTCCTTTATGATGACTTCATTTTCAGAGTCTTTTCATTTTAGAGAGACTTTTGCTATAGAGCATGTGTGCTCGCTGGAGAGACAGACATACAGAAAGTGAGAAACCACCCCCTGGGGGATGTCCACACAGCAATCCTTTCTCCTCCATTCTCCTCTTGGAATCTCGGGCACGCATGCACATGCCTGGTGTGAGTTTACCACCAGGTCTGGGACTTGAGCCTCTGTCTCTATGTGGGAGTCCAGCGACATAATCGTTAACCCATCCGCAGGTCCCAATATTTTCAGGGTCTTCTCATGGAGACGAATTGCTTTAGGAACTCAAATTCACATCCTTCTAGGATCAAGATACTCCAGAAAGAGTATCTGCCATTCTCCCAGTCCTCCCAGCCAGTTCCATTGATTTTCTTTGGTTCAAGATTGTATGGTTCCATCAGAGCCAACTGCTGTGGCCAGAAAGGTAAAATGGCTGGCGACCCACGGATGAGGCCTACTCCATCAAAGCTCTAGGGACCGCGAGTGGGTTGGGCTGATTCTCCAAAGAAAACCAAAGATACCATCACAGAGAAAGAACGAATGGATGGCTGAACAGCAACTACTGTTTACGAGAGAACTTTACAGAGTTTACTGAAGGAGGAATTGAAGTCTGAGTTTATTTTGGTGCCAAAAAAAAAAGAAATACATGTAGTTTGTTGGTTTGTTTTGTTTTGTTTGGATCTAGCAAAACAGAGAGTTTATTGAAGAAGAAGAAAGGAAAAACAGAACTCCCAAGAAGAAGGGAGGGGTCCTGGAAAATCGGTTGCTGAGGAAGAACTGAGGGGAGGGGTTTTACTTTGGTCAGGAAAGGCTTTGCTCAGACTTATTCCGGGTGGGGCTTGTGCACGTGTTTTCCTTTGGGGGGGGAGGGAGGCATGTGCAGAATGGGTCCAGTTATTCTCCTAATTTTGGAGTGGGTACCAAGGCCAGGAGATTCTTCGTCTAGAAGCTTTGAGCCATGAAACCATCATCTTATCTTCTTCCTGGACTGTAGTGGGGCCTTCTGGCTTGGCTCCATAACTTGCTGTGGGATGACTTCTGCAACCACATCCAGGTTCTTGGTGTTTGGGACAAAGAATTAAACGAAACAGGCCACTAGTGAAATGAAAAAATAGTTTATTAATTAAGAGTGTAATACACTCCCGAGAGGTAGGATGAGCCCAAACAGACAGAAAGGCAAAAGCCATTTTTTTTTGAAAGAGAGATTTTTGCTATAGGGTGCATGTGCTCGCCAGAGAGAGAGAGAGAGAGAAAGTGAGAAATCAACCTCTAGGGGAAATGGCCACACCACACTCTCTTCTCCTCCATTCTCCTCCCAGGATCTGGGGCATGCTCACACAGGTACCCTGCATGAGTTTCAAGCCACCAGGTCCAGGACTCAAATCGTGATCGACCATGTGGAAGCCCAGCGCCTTAACCACTATGCCACCTGCTGGCTCCCCACGGTTTTACGATACACATTTTCCATGGGCTTTTGAAGACCCCCTCCTATGTATCTACCTCAGCAGTTAAAAGGACAGTGAAAAGTCACCTCCTTCACTCTGGATGGCTTCTTCTATAACCAGGCCAGGGCCGCCTCATGGCCTCACACTGATGTCTCACACCACGTAATCAGGAGATATCTTTCCTTGTCCAATGCGCTTGGCTGACCTCCCTCACACACAGCCATCTCAGGTATGCAAATATTTGGAAGTTCTCCCTCCCCACCTCTGTTCAAGCATGTCAGATTTGGGGTGGGGGGGAAGAAAGGAACAAGACAAGGCCTGTGCCCCACTCCACCTTCCCTGATTCCTCATCCCTCCCTCCTCTCACTGTAACAGTGATTCAGGGGAGACAGCTTAGACCCACAAAAATTTTCCACCAACTTGGATGGCACCCACTCAGGGCTAGACCTGTTGCTTTTCCGGGCATAACAAACACTATTTTCTCTTCACAGAGTTGACCGTTTCCATCCAGTGGATAGGCGACCACCTGATTTATTAGAAACCAGGGACTCTGTATAGAGCGTGTGTACATATGTAAATGACAACAGCGAAATCTGCCTACTGCCTGCACAGCTGCTGGACACAGAGTTCTGAGATCTTGGCTCTAAAATTGTTTGAAAATGATCCTTAAATCCTAGTACAGCCTGAGCCAGAAGGGTGATGGTGGAGGAGGCTGGATCCCACGTGGCCTACTGCACAGTTCAAGACTGGGATCCAGTGGCTTGAGGAACATGCCAGGTGTGTGTACGTGCCTGCCCAGAATCCCTAGAGGAGGACAGAGGACAGGAGATGTGGCCATTCCTCCTGGAGGGGAGGGGAGCCTTCTCTCTCTCTCCCTCTCTCTGTCTCTCTCCAGGGAGTACATGCACCCTATTTTTTTTTTTTGTTTAATTCTAGTACAATCTGACCATTTAACAGATGAGTAAACTGAGACTCAGGGGGGGCCTGGACATAATCCCCCCTAAGGTCACTCACTCAGCAAGTGAGTGGCAGAGTGGCAATCAGAATTTAGTCCTTCTGACAACTAGACACTTCCACTCTACTTGGAGTTTTTACTTGAATAGACACATAGATTCCCAAATGATCTTTCCTTCCTCCCTCCCTCCCTCCCTCCCTCTCTCTCTCTCTCTCTCTCTCTCTCTCTCTCTCTCTCTCTTTCTTTCTTTCTTTCTCTCTTTCTTTCTTTCTTTCTTTCTTTCTTTCTTTCTTTCTTTCTTTCTGTATTCAGTCCTAATGCAAGGTGGGGGCTGGCAGGGGAGAACAGTTCGGTAGATTCTCCCATTCATTCACTTAACAAATATTTATTAAGTGCCCCCCTGAACCTGGCCCTGCGACAGGGCTGGAGACACAATTTGCAGGGGTGAGGGGACACAAAGACTACTTGGAGTTTTCAGTGTTGGGCAAGGGTAAGGAGGGACACAGACATCAATTCAAGAATCACATAAGTTCATCCAAAGTACAGGCACGGAAAGCGCTTGGAAGGAAAGAGCAGGATGTTTACCAGCACACTCCCTGGTTATCCTCGGGCAAAAGGGTCAGGCGGACTTCCCAGAGGAAGTGACGTTTGAGCTGAGCTAGACAGACATTACCATGGAGCTTACAGAAGGTGCTGCAAGAACAGACTGTCCTCCCCTTGACGCCTCCTCACTGAACTCCCGCTGCAGCGGCCAGCATTCCTTAAGCGTGCCAGGAAGCTTCCAGTAACCATTTCCTGACAGATGACACACTTAGGGTTTTCCGAAGATGATGACCTAAGACTGTTACACAGCGGCCAGACACGTGCCTCCCGGAGAGGAATTTGGACACCACCTCCGCTCTTCTCCTCAGCATCGCCTGGGGAAGAATGTTCTTTGGGGTTTCCCTTGCAGGATACCAGGGGCCAGGGCCAACTTTGCAGCCTGGTACTTCAGCCCCAGGATGGAGGCTCCCCAGTCCCACCAGGCAAACACCTCCTCACTTTCAGGCCCAAGGTTTTGGTCCACCTCCTCTAGGCTGGACTGGGTCTCCTCCTCACTGCTTCCCCTGGCTCTGAGCTCACCTTCCATCCTAGCCAGGACCCTGTGTCACCTCCCTCTACTCATCTCTGGGACTGCCATCATGGCTGAGCTTCTTAGCACGAGACTTGTGTTTTTTGTTTTTAAAGTTCTACCTATTAATTGAGAGAGAGAGAAAGAGAGAGAGGAGGAAGCCCCAATACTGCCATCACACAGCCACCCACCCTGAGTTGTAGGGATCGTGGGCACTTGTCAGCTCACCCAGGGAGCTCTTGAGTCTTGAACCTAGGATCCTTCCCATGAGGGTTTAGGTGCATCGCCACTGCGCCACTACCTGGTCCCAGATTGTGGTTTCCTAATCCTTGTTCTCCCGTGTTGGTGATGACTACCCTTAGCTGGCCTTCAGCACTTTCAACGCCTCTGTTTGAATCACTAGGCTCTGCTATGCCCGGTCTCTGTGACCTTGGGCAAGTTACTTAACCTTTCTGAGTCTATTTCCTCCTCTCCAAAATGAGAACGGATAAACATTACCTCCCGGGTGTCACACTATGAAGTGAGAACTCGCAGAGCACGCTTACAGCCTCTGCTGCACACGAAAGTACTCAATAAACAACGGCTATGTCATCAATAACCACCTTTTGAGTTAATATGATGCTATACAATCATTAAGCCTTAATTGGTACAAAGAGACTTGTTTTTGTTTGGGGAGTCTTGTTACTTTTTTTGTAATCTGTCCTCACTTAAAGCAGCTTTTTTTGTGCGAGCAGCATCCCCTAGACCCACCTTCACCGCCCCTCTCACCGCTCAGGACAGGACAGGCGGGAGGGGAGCTATGCACACGGCGGAGGGCAGAGGGCAGTATCTCCGCGCACCGCCCCAGTCCGCGGGACGCGGTGTCCTCTCTCTGCACCCAGCCCCTTTGGCGCCAAGGGGGCCCCGGGGCCCACGTGGGGCGTCTTCTGGGAACTGCCGCTCGGCGGCCCGTGTGCACAGCCCGGTGCGCTCGGCCCGGTGCGCCGCACGGAGCCCCAGTGTGACTCAGCGCGGGACGTGTGCAGGCGGCTCCCGCGCAGGCGGGGCTTTTGCGCTCGCCCCGGCGCTTTCCCGCTATAAAGGCAGCGGGCCCGGCTAGCGCTCCACCACGCCTCCTCGAAGCTCTTTCAATCCTGCGTGCAACTGTCTGCGGACTCCAGCCACCTTCTCAACTCGCGATGGACCCCAACTGCTCCTGCGCGACCGGTACGGGACTTGGTCCGGGGTTGGGGACGCCTGGTGTAGGCTGAAGAGTTAGAATACGGTTTCCTGACCCCTCTTTCTCTCTGTAATCGTCCAGTTTCAGGGTACTTATTGCCCCTTCCAGAAGGGTTTTGGTGTTATCTTTTTCTATTCTAGGTTATTCGGAGCCCTCGGTTTACTGTTCAGAAGCTCTGAGTTAATGGTTTGCTCAAGTTCCCACGAATTGGTTGTGGAACGAAGTGACTCGAACCCGGCTCTTTAGACTCGGTACTGCGTTGAGGTCTCCAGTGACCGTCCTCACCCGCTGCCTTTTTTTCTTGCAGGTGGATCCTGCAACTGCGCCGGCTCCTGCAAATGCAAAGAGTGCAAGTGCACCTCCTGCAAAAAGAGTAAGTGGGGTCCACTCTCCCTTCCAGCCCCCCCAACCTCGTCCCCAAGGGAATTGAAGCCGGTGGTGGGTGTGTGTGTGTGGGGGGTGCTCCCTCCTCTTGGAAGTTGGTGCCTCAGCGGTGAATCTTCTCAGAGAAGGCGGGAATCCTTATTCCCTTGCCCTGGTGCTCATCTGTCACCCCCTTTCTTCCCCAGGCTGCTGCTCCTGCTGCCCCGCGGGCTGTGCCAAGTGCGCCCAGGGCTGCGTCTGCAAAGGGGCTTCTGACAAGTGCAGCTGCTGCGCCTGATGTGGGGACTGCCCTGCTCCCAGATGTAAATAGAACCACGTGTACAAGCCTGGATTTCTTTTTTTTTTTTCCTATACAACCCTGACCCATTTGTTATATTCCTTTTTCTACGAAATATGTGAATGCAATAAAAGTCGTTGACTAGACTCTAGCTCTGGTTTCCTTTGCGTGCCTTGAATCTAAGGGACTTGGTGCTGCCAAGAAGGGTGGGAGCTTTTACTGGGAGTGCAGACACCTGGGCTTTGGACTGAAATGTGAGCCCCCAACAAACTCTTTATACAAGCCGGGAGGCCTCCCTGAGCTTCATTTCTATGAAAGGTAGAGCACTGGGCCAGCCGGTGGAGTGACTGCTAAGGCGGATGGCTCCTACAGGGCTAAAGGTGCAGTTTGAGTCCAGGACTCAGTGGCTTGAGAAACAGGCCACGGGGGAAGTTCCTGACTGCCCTGCGTGGCCATTGGGGGGGAAGGGGTTGCTTTCTCTCACTCTCCTGCAACAACACGTGGAAGAGAAATAAAATGGTAGATAATTGCGCCAGGTTGTGGAGACTGGGATGGGGTGGTGCCAAGTGTTACAGAAACTTTGAACCCCTGGGAACCAGCAGTTAGCATAATGGCTATGTCGCTGGACTCCCACGTAGGCGACCGTGGTTCGTGTGCCGGACCCGGTGGCTTAAAAAACTCATGCCGGGCGCGTGTGCATGCGTGCCCAAGATCCCGAGAGGAGAATGGAGGAGAAGGGATTGCTGCGTGACCATCCCCCCTGGGGAGTGATTTCTCGCTTTCTGTCTCTATGTCTCTCTCTCTGTCTGGCGAGCGCACGCGCCCTACAGTGAAAATCTCTCCAAAAAAAAAAAAAAGAGAAACTTTGAACCCCTCATTTTCCCTCTGACTTTCCCGCCCAGCTTCAGTTTTTCATCAGCCTTTAGGCTTGAAGGGGACTGCAGAGTGAAATCTAACTCTCCAGTTGCTAGAATCCTGTTGATACATGGGGCTTCTCCAACTCCATGGTGAGGCTATTTCCAGTAGGTATTTCCTATCTATTGCAGACCTAAACCTTGGTAAATAAAATAATCCGAATTATAGACATAATGAAATCAGACAAACACAAAGTACAAAACTTTTTTTTTTTAAGACATTTTTGGCCAGAAAGTGTATGCACTCTCCAGAGAGGGAAAACACCTCTGAGTGGGATGTGCTCGGGCTACAAACCCTCATTTCTCCATCCCGCAAGGATTTGGGACACACACATACCCACACACACACACCACAGTGCGCATGTGATTCTTAAGTCACGGGCTGGGATCTGATGTGGGATCTGGCATTTTATATGTAGGGCCAGCCACCCCCCCACACACACACACACACACTCTTTTAAATTTTAGATTCAAGGAAACATTTCAATAAACATACAAAGTGCAATATAACAGAAACAAAATTACAGGCACCACATTTGTTCAAGGGTGTGGGCTGCAGACTGGACACTGTGTCTCACACACCTTTGAGCCACCCTGGCCTGGACAAAGATTCATCCACTGGCACGGACAGGAATTTCTGCCCCTGAGCCCCTGTTGTGATTGGCTCTGAATTGTGGGTCAGACTGAATTTGCTCCTTTCTGAAATCCCAGCCCTTGGCTACTTCAAACTAGCAAAGTGACCAGGGCTCTGCAGGAGTTGCCCGACATTTTCCCGGCAAGATAAAGTGCATGTGTCCACTGATTTAAGATGAAGTACAGGGCTTCGCATCTGCCCATGCAGGGTTAATGGCAGACTCTGCAGTTTGAAGGGCGTGGCGGTGTTCGTTAGGATGGTGTGAGGCCCTCAGTGACTTGTAATTAATACCAACCGTTAGTCCCACGGCTGTTTGTTGAGGAAATGTTATTTGATGTTCAATCAAGGAAGGTGAGTCACCTGGCCCAGGCATCAGGACCACACTTGTCTGAAAGTGCCCTGTGGGAACTAGGGATTTCAGAAGGCAGCCTGGGCCCAGCGCATGGATTTTGGTCAAGCAGTCCTGGCTTCCAGCCCACATCACTGCTTACTGGCTGGGTGACCTGACCAAGATGCTCAACCTCTCTGGGCCCCCATTTTGTCATTTCTAGAATGGCAATTATATCCATGGGGGGGGAGGGAATTCATTGAGCTAGTCCCCCAGTTGCTGGCTAGGCCTTAGTAAACAACGACCTTCATGATCATTCTGTCTATGTGAACTTTTTCCAAGAGAAAATTCCTTTCTCAACAAACTCAGGACAGGGAAAAGACCTGTCTGGGAAGATTTCCTCTGGGTTGCGGTCCGAGGAGAAGCGTGGAGCCTTGCAATTGTGTACCAGGGTGTGTGTGAATGTATTCCTGCACAAAGCCTTCTGGGATAAGATGCTGCTGTAGCATATTTGAACACAAAAGCCTTTTTAATTTTTCATATCACTTGAACTTCACATGACCCAGTGAGAGAGTGAATGTGCAGGGACCAGCAAGATCGTGCTATCTTCCAGCAAGGTTGAGCAGTCTGCCCGAGGTCACGTAGCTCCCAAGTCGAAGGTCTGAACCTGTGCCACGACAGGTCTCTCTCCCTGGCCCCCGCTGGCAGATCATGCTGTCACTGCGTGCTCACAGTACGGATCTGGAAATGCCTTACAAGTTGGACCAATGATGCCCCTGACTTTTCAGATGGGAAACTGACCCCAGAGAGGTCACAGAGGGAGCTAAGCGACAGCTCAGTTTTCTTCCCACTGCTGCCTCTGTGCCGTGTTTTAGTGTCTCCATTTCTACGTGGCACAGTAGTGTAAAATGGAGTGAGGGCATGGTGAGGCAATCAGCCTGCACCTGTGCAAATTCCAGCTATGGTCACTTATACCTGGGTGACATAACCTCTCTGTGGCTCAGTCTCCGCTACTACGAAATGGGCAGAATAATAGCAGCTGGCTGGTGGAACTCAATAGTTAATACATGAAAATAGCTTAGAATGGCACCCGCCAGGTGTCAAGTAATCTACAATATTAGCTAGTATTTTGTTATTTTTTTATTCATAATATAGGGACATTTTTCTTCCTCCAGACAAACAGGCCAGGCCTTTGGACCGAGTTGTGTATCTTATATCGGCCTCATTATCTACACGAGTATTTTACTTCATGTTTTTCTTTTAAGCCATTTGCATTGTCTCACATATGTTTGTACTACTCACAGTTCCCCCAGAGAAACAGAACCAACAGGATAGACAGAGAGAGAAAGATTTATTTGTTTATTTTGCTGCAGGGTGCATGCACTTGCCAGAGAGAGAGGGGAGAGGGAAAGTGAGAAAGCACCATCCGGAAGAGCTGACCGTGCCACAGTCCCTTCTCCTTCAGTCTCTTCTCAGGATTTAGGGCATCCGTGCTCATGTGCCTGGCTTATTTTTCAAGCTATGGGGTCCCAGACTCGAACCGTGTCGTCAGCCTTATGGGATCCAATAGTCTTAACCATTTCACCTGGTTGGCCCTCACAGCCCACTTCTTATCAACTCAGCACATACATACATCTCCAGAAATCATGCTAATGCACAGATAAAGGTAAAGCAAGATTGTATGTGCAGATAACGTGATGCAACCATCCTAAGACTGGAAATACACTGTTTCCCAGAAAAGTTTGTGAAGTCCTTGGGTGGTATTCACTCTTCTCCTTGACAGCCAGTCGTTTAGGTATTGTGATAGAAAGTTAGCAATGCTTAAATACAGTGATGTAACAGTAATATACCCTCTGATATGTACGGGGACTAAGAGAATAACAGGAAGAAAACAAAAACATCTGACACGCACACACAGAAAAAAATAAACAAAGAAACAATTGCATCCCTCCTTTCTGGGTTGTAACAGGTCATGTGGTCGTAGCTGGTATTTATAACCTGCAACTCCCATTATCGCTTTGCCCTCAGCGAATCAACTGTTTATGGTTCTTAATCTGATGGAGTGAACCAAATCTTACTCCTGAAGGGTCTGGGTCATTAAGAAGTCCTGCTGGAATTGAGTTGGTAAAGGTTTTCCATTGATTTCAGTCATAGGACAAGGCGAGAAACACCCTAAGGGAATTCCTGTACTCCAGCATCCTCTTCCTTATCTCCACTGTGCAGCAGCGGTCCAGCTCCCCTTGGCAATCACAACCAACCACCCCATCCAGTATAGCAACTCCTCTCTTTGCCTGTTGATTCAGAGGCATAAGGAGCAGTAAGTGGCCACAGACAGCCTTAGAGTCTAGCCCAGCGGAATACAACATTGCTGTGTCTCCCAGTAGACACATTCCTCTGATTGCAGCTAAGACATCAAGACCAGCAGAGGATACGGTTATGGAGACAGGTAACAGAAAGAGAGAGATTTTGGGAACTGGCTCATACAGTTGTTTGGTCTGGCAAGTTTGATGATGGGAGATTTGGCTGGCTGGCAATTCCAGAAGGAGATAATGTTGCAGTCTTGAGTCTGAAGACATGCTGAAACCAAAATTCCTTCCTTTGGGGAAGACCCTCAGCGTTCTGAGACCTTCACTAATTGAATAAAGCCCACTGATATTGTGGACAGTAATCTGCTTTACTCAGAGTCTACTGATTTAAATTTTCATCACATCTGTAACTTCACAGCAACTTCGAGACTGGCATTTGATTAAGGTGCTGGAAATATAGCCTAGCCAAGCTGACATGTGAAATAAACCATCACATATATTTGAATGAAAAGTAAACTTTGTCTCTGGAAATTAAGAAGCAATCTGATTTCCAACATTAGATTGCTCTACAATGTACTATATATGTATTTCCTTTCTCTATTGCTTTTTTTTTTTTTTTTTAAACTTGGTAGATGGTGTATGCAGTTTTCAGGGAGAGAAAGAGAGGGAAAATGAGAAAGGAACCCCCCACCCCCACCCCATGGAGAATGATCATACTGCCATCCCTTCTCCTCCATTCCTCCTTTTGGGATTTTGGGCACAAACATGCACCCAGCGTATTTCTCAAGCTGCAGGGTCTGGGACTCAAACCACACAATTAGCCATGTGGGATCCAGTGGCTTTAACCACCATGTCACCAATTGGCCCTGCATCATTTTTTTAAACTTTCCAGAATTAAGCTTGAGGCTTGTCTCTGTTTAAAAGAGTTCAAAGCCCATCTACTGTAGACTGCAGTAGACAGTTTCCAGGTAGACTGAAGTCTCCCATGCAGACCCAGATTTGATTCCTGGGCCACCCTAAAGAGCCGGGAACAGTGGCATATGCCTGTAGCCTCGCTACTGGAAAGGCTGAGACAAGGGGGTCCCAACATAGCAAGACCCTCAACACAATGAAACAAACAGAAAAACAGCAATAACCACAAACAAAAAACGCACAAATACGAATTGTTTCAAGAAGTATGGTGAGGTCGAGGTCATACTCAGGACAAAGAAATCTTTATCCTTGACCTTTTCCTCTCCTCGGGGAGTTGAGTCTCTGGATTCAGACCAGTACCATCACTGTCTGGCTCTATAGCCTTGGGTAGGCTAAACTGGTGCCTAAGTTTTTACTTTAGAAAAATGAGTTTAGGACAACCAGGTGGACCAGAATTAGGGCAGTTGGATCCCTCATGACTCTCTGAGAAGTTTAAGTCTGGACCCAACTTAGAAAACATGCGTGTGAGTGTGTGTCCAAATCCCAACGGAGAATGGAGAGTAGGTTGCAGAGTGGTCAATCCTCCCTGGGAAGGATGCTTTCTCACTTTCTCTCTCTCTCTCCCCCACTCCCGGGTGAGAGCACACTCCCTACAGCAAATTTTTAAGAAAAGAAAAATGGAGACCAGCAGTTGGTATTATGGCTATATCGCTGGACTCCCATGTAATCAACTGCGACTGGAGTCCTGGACCCGGTGGCTTAAACTCATGCCAGGCACGTGTGTGTGCGTGCCCAAGATCCTGAGAGGAGAATGGGGGAGAAGCGATTGCAGCGTTGCCATGCCCTCTGGGGGATAATTTCTTACTTTCTGTCTCTCTTTCTAGCGAGCACATGCGCCCTATAGGGAAAACCTCTCCAAAAGAGAGAGAGAGAGAGAAAAAAAAGAAAAGAAAAATGGATTCAAAAATAGCTCTATTTCCCATTTAGTGGTATTGGGAAGGTTCGAAGACAGGGATTAAACAAAGCAAACGCTTAATGCTATGCGATGGTGAGGAAAAGTGAAAGAGAAATAAACTTTTTTTTTTTTTTTACTTTTTTATTTAAGCAGGGTCTGCATGTCAGAAAAACGATAGATTCTTCAGGGTATCTTATGACTTGGGATAAGCTTTATGTGGTGGAAGGCTAGGTTGTGGGAAGCCCCAGGGAAATCTGACCAAAAGGGGACCCTGACAAGGGCATCCATACATCCCATCAGGCCTGGAGAATGGAAGGGAAGCATTTGCCTTGTCGCTGCGTGTATGAGAACCAGGGCCCAAGGACAAGTGACGATAGCGACAGGCGATGCGTGGGTGTGGGGGGAAGCAAAGGTCACAGTCAGAGCGAGTCCTCTGCACTCAACTCACTCGCTGCTCTCTCTGGGTGGTGCGGATCTGGGGACGTGAGCAGAAGGCCGGGGTTGCACGCGTTCTGGATTGGCCAGGATACCAGGCTAGGTTCCTGGAACGCCGGAGACCGGGGGTGGTAACAACCTCTGGAAAGTCGGGAAGAGTCAGCAGAGCTGCAAGGACGCCGAGTACCGCCGGGCGCACAGCCCCGGTCCCGCGCAACCCGGCACCAAAGGGGCGGCGCCCGCGGTGCGCACGGAGCCACGCTCTCCGGAGAACTCGTGCGCTCTTCCCGCCAGCTGCACTCAGCCCCGCCAAGGACCGAGGACGGTGCTGACTCAGCAAGGCGGGTGCAACGGCCGGGGCGGGGCCTTTGCGCCCGGGCCGCCACCCGGGACTATAAAGTGGGCTGGCAGGTCCGAGGCTCCGATACACGCCTGCCACAGCTCAAGTGCCTGTAGCTTGTTGCTTTGGACCTCCGACCTCACCTCGTCCCGCCATGGACCCCAACTGCTCCTGCGCTACAGGTAAGGGACACTGACTTTCCGAGCGTTAGAATGAGCATTTCCCTGTTCCAGAACCGGAGTCCCGGTGGCAGCCGAGGGCGCGTTTTGAATCTGAGCTGAAGTGGATGTCTTTATATTTAACGTTCTGTGCTTTCTTTCTGGCCAAACACCTTCATCTGCCTTCAGAGTTTTCCATCCCCTCAGCGGCTCCCATTTCAGGGTAGAAGAATGGAGGCTCAGGGTTGTCTTGTTAGACATCACCCTGAGTCAAAAGGCTGCAGGCACACTGCTATGCAAACTTGAATTACCTGTGGGGATATTGCCACCTGTGGGCTCACCACTTCAAATCTTGGCCCAGGCCCAGGCCTGAACTTCCCAGCAGGAAGGTGGAAGAGGTGGGGTTACACTTCCATCTGCTCTGTATGGGGTAGCAGCTCCCAGGGCTGGGCCTGGGCAGCAGAGGGGCAGGGAGAGTAACAGAGCACCTGCCAGATCAGCCATATCACACCAGTGCTCACTGCCTGCCTTTCTCACCCTCACAGGTGGCTCCTGCACCTGCGCTGGCTCCTGCAAATGCAAAGAATGCAAGTGCACCTCCTGCAAGAAGAGTGAGTGTGGGGCCATCTTCAGAATCTGGGGCTGAGGCTAAGGTTGGGAGGGAACCCCAAGCTGCCTCTGAGTGTCTGCTTGTGGGAACTGGCCTTCCTTTGCCTCTGGAGACACTGTGATTCCTTGCCCAGTCTTTCTGCCCTGTCCTGAGCTCACATGGGATAGAGTCTTTTTCTATTGGGAAACAAATGACCAAGTTTGGATCTATTGTCTTAGAACATAACTGGGCCATCCCAGAAAAGGGTCCTGGGGTTGGGGCAGAGCTTGTACAAGGCTTGCAGTCAGGACAGAGAAGTGCCTGGTAAGTGTGCTCTGAAATCCTCAACTCTCCCCTTTCTTCCCCAGGCTGCTGCTCCTGCTGCCCTGTGGGCTGTGCCAAGTGTGCCCAGGGCTGTGTCTGCAAAGGGGCCTCAGACAAGTGTAGCTGCTGTGCCTGATGTCAGGAGAGCCCTCTCCCGGATGTAAATAGAGCCACGTGTACAAGCCTGGTTGCCCTCCCACCCCCATGCATTTTCTACATTTCTTTTTCTATGACAAATGTGAATGGCAATAAAAGTTGTTAACTTAATTCTGGAGTTGTCTGGCTTGGATCTAAGGGAGTTGGTGCCCATCAGGGCTGGGGTGGGGGCTTCTGCTGGGAGCACAGACACCTGGGCTCTGGACTGAAATGTGAGCCCCCAACAAGCTGGCTTCAGGCAAGCCAGGAGACCTCCCTGGGCAGCATTTCTGTAGATGACAGCATTTTAGCAGGCCATGGGGGGAGAGGCGCAGTGCAGGCACAGGATCCCCTTCATTTTCATGTGGCACAGAAGCTTCTTGGTCTCTCATTTTCCCTTGATTTTCCTGTCCAACCTTAGTTCTTTGCTTAATTTTTAGTTACAGAGATAATGAAATGAAATTTTGGTTGTTAGGTTTTTGCTATAGCGCGTGGATGCTTTCTGGAGAAAGACAGAAAGAGAGAGAGAGAGAAAGAAAGTGAGAAAGCTCCCTCAACCCTGGGATTTGAGGGAAGGGCAGGGGCATACTATAATCTCTTCTCCACATTCCTCTTGGAATCCTGGGCAAGCATGCACAAGTGCCCAGCATGATTTTCAAGCTACCTAGTTCTGACTTGAACCATGAAGTCAGCCATGTGGGATCCAGCGGCCTTAACCTCCATATCACCTCCTGGCCCCAAAACTTTTCTCTTTTTTTGAGAGATTTTTGCTATAGAGCGCATGCACTCGCTAGAGAGACAGAGACAGAAATCCAGAAATCCCCCCCAGGAGGGAAGGCCATGCCACAATCCCTTCTACATTCTTCTCTTGGGATCTTGGGCACGCATGCACATGCACCCAGCATGACTTTTAAGTTGCCGGGTCTGGCACGCGAACCCTGGTGGACTACATGGGAGTCTAGCAATTTAACCAATATGCCACCTGCTGGTCCCCCAAAACCTTTTTTCTCCCCTGTAATTCATGGAAAGTTTCAAGAAATATATGAAGAAATAAAAGGAAAATGAAAGATGTACAAACTTTGCATTTAATGGCCGATGAGGTGCATCGCAGGATGCAGATAGTTTGCAGACCTGCCCCAGTGTCTAGAACATGCGCCCCCTAGCAACCCTGGCCTGGACGTCCTGACAGGGGGCTATCAGTCTTGATTTGCCTGGTGTCATTGCTGGGACTCATTACTCCTGAGAGCTCCCCGTTGTGATTGGCTCTAAATCTTTGGAAGTTTCTACAAGGGCAGGCTGAATTCACTCCTCTCCAATTCTAGCCCATGGCTACTTCAGACTAGTGAAGGGACTAGGGCTTTGAGGGGACTGCCCAGTGGGTTCCTGGCAAGATGAAGTGGTTCAGTGGTTCC